ATTAAGTTTCAGACCTGATTTATAGAACCCACAACTTGGATCCCTCCAAGAAAGTTCCACCCAGGCACCTAGAGACACCAGTATCACAGCGAAGTTTCTCCTGACTACCCTCTATAATCTTTCCAAGTTTGATGAAGATTTGGTCTCATCTGAGTGATACATCCACAAAGTGGTTCCCCCCAGGAAAGTGCCCTTTAACATCTGGCTTCGGGAAAACCAATCATCACCAAACTTGGGTAGTTTGCAGAGGAGTGTCTGAGGAAGCTTCTTGGAAATTTTGGTATCTCTTGGTGCTTGTTGAGCCATTTTATAGCCCAACAAATTGATGAATCAAAAATCAAATTCATTGATTTGGATGCCTTGGGGCATTGATTCGTATGAATATGAATAAATGCATTAGGAATCTTTGAACACATTTGATGATTCCTTTTTAAATTTGTGGCCATCTCTACTGAATATCAGGAAAAATGTCTTAACAACAATAGAATCTATTACCCTGGGAGGTGCAGAGTACTCCAGTGCTGGAGGCATTCAAGAGAAAATTAGACAATGATCTGTCAGATCTGATTTGATGTGGATTCCTGCCATGAGCAAGGGGATTGGACTTGATGGTCTTAGAGGCCCCTTCCAACTCAGTGATTCTACGATTCTAGGATCTGTGCACACAGGGGAGCTGTCTATGCAGAATGAAATTAAAATATTGAACGAAAATGATTTGTTGACCTTGTGCAAAGGGCGTACCTGTCCCCAGGGAGAGCTAATAATCCAGAAGTTGTCGTTCATCACTTTCATCATTGCTAGAAACCTCTCATCGTGGTAATCAAAGTGGGTTCCAAAGACGATGGAGCAGATGATGTTGGACGTAGCACAGCTGAGCAAGAAGGAGGGGTCGAAGGGCTTTCCTGGAAGAGCAAAAAGATTCATCCAATGTCATCAGTCATGCCAATCCCAATAGCAACAGTGATAGATGTAGCTGGAGTCAGAGCTGCTCACTTTGCACCATCCATGATCTGATGGGAGAGCAGAGGAGAGGTTCCTTGTTTGTGCCCAGGCTCTCCAAATGAGCAAGAACCTACATGGAACCACGAATGGCTTCTTTGCAACCCCATCACAGTGAGGACAGTGAAGGGGTGGGTGTTGGGCTTCCCCTTTCTGCAGAACACCCTCAACAAGGTTTCTGCATCACCATTTTCTGACTGCTTGGAGTGAGAGTTCCTTTGTGTAAGGACGATGAGGTGGCCATCAGAGGAAGACTGTCCCAAGCAGTCTCATTGCAAGTGAGTCAGGCAAATCCTGACATCAAAGCCAGAACCCCATCATTGCCCGGAACTGGTTGCTGCTGGTGAGATCATTATTAGGGTGAGGGGGAGATTGCTGGGACACAGGAAGATCCTGCTAGACTCTCAGGGCTCACCCAGCTCACCCACAATGATTAGGTGGGCAGGTTTCCTGGCACGTGGTGTGGACCCTGGGATCAAAGCAGGAGCTCCTTAATCATCTTCCCCGGCCAGTGCCATCCATGCCTTCACTCAGTTTTCATTCTCTCAGCGGGATTTCAGCCAATGAGTCTCCACCCCTTACGGATCTGGAGATCTGCCCATGGTCTTGGTCCATTACATGGCAGGAACAATGTGATGCCGGCCAGGAAATGAAGCCATCCACACTATCACATGATTTCACCAGGGCCATATAGCCTAAGAAGCCTTCCTCCACTGGTTAAGTGCCACAAAATCTGCAGAAGGTACCTCTAAAGCTGTGATGCCAGGGGAGTGAATACTGCCTGAGCCTTTACAGGAACTTCAGTCTTAAAAAAAGGGAACTCTTCCTGTCATGGATTGGTTTATGTGGTTTAATTCTTGTATTGAAGATGGGATATGTAGTTGTGAACAATGTAAAATGGATTCCATATTGGTTCTCTGTATAAATGATTTTGCATGCTGGCAGTGTATTTTCCAGAGGGCTGTGGGAATGTTTTTCCTTTAGTCCAGGACAAGCCATGCTAAGATAAGAAGACCAGACACTTGTTATAGTGTGAAAGGAGATGAACTAAGAAAAACAACACCTTTTTCCCATGCTGTGATTGGATGAGAGCTTGAGAGACAGAGGAGAAGGGTGGTTCCAGCAAAGCTTGAAAAAGGAACTTTTACTATGTGCAGAGATGATAATACTTTTCCTTGTTCTACAATTTTTGGACTACTTTTCCATTATAGTTTTTCTTGGTCTGTATGCCTGCTGCTCAATGCAGGTAAAAGACTGAGGAAGATGTAGGGAGACCAGAAAGAAAGAAAGGGGTCTTTTTGCCTTTTGCCTACCCTAAGAGAGTTTTTAGAGATTTTTAGGGATTTTAGTGTTTTTGTAATTAAAGAGAATTATTTGCCTCATTTCTATTTTCTAACAAACCTTGGAAATGGTAATATGCTTCGCTTTTGCATCAAACTGACTTCATTCTGTAAACCTATATTTTTTCAATAAAATAATAAATATAAAATCTCTTGGCTTCTTGAACAGTGTAGCTGTCTTAGCAATACCCTGAGGGGGAAGCAAGGCCACATTAAGCTACTGAGTCCTACTTTATTGGGCAATGTAGGTTTAATGACTAGAAAGCTCATGTGTAATTTTTTCTTGATTTTGCCTAAGGTTGAACAGGTATTCTTTTTATGGCAGACATGTAAGAAGATGTTTGGGGCAGGCCTTGGCTGAGGGCATCTAGGACTCACCCCAGCTGCTTAAGGGTGCACAGACTTCTAATTACTCTCTGTCCGACCGGTCAAGCATTCCTTTAGAGGAGGCTGATTGTGACATGGTGGCAGCGGTGGGATGAGTCCAATATTATGGATCTGGCTGCCTCAGCAGGGACTTTGCCTTGATGACTCTTGAAAGTCCGTTCCAACTTTCCAGCCGCATGAGTCTGTTCCCAAAATCCTTTTTGTTGTTCCTGCCAGCTCACTGGTGTTAACCTTGATGGTGCGCTAATCTCCAGTTCCTTATGGAAGTGGAGATTAGCGCATGGCCTGGGGGGGCTAGGTGTGCCTTTGGCAGCTTGTTACCCAAAAGAAGCCTGTGGATGGAGGAGAGATGGACGGTCCTGACCTACCTTTAGTGTCCTGGAGCTTTTCCAGGAGATACTGGGCTTCCTCCTGGATCCTCTCCTCGATGCTCTTCTTTCCCATCCCAAAGTTGCGCAATGTGGTGAGGGCAAAGCGCCGGAGCACCTTCCATCTTTCCCCATTGCTGAAGATAATCCCTGGAAGAGGAAGGGGATGTGGGAATAGAGAACACACAGACATAAAGGAAAGCCAGGGCCCCAGATTTTCTTGGACTACAACGCCCAGAGGCCTTCACCTGGCTACCTGGGCTGGCCAGGATTTCTGGGAGTTGCAGTCCAAGAACATCCGGGGAACACAAGGCTGGGAACCAGTGTCATATAGAGTCTTATGGGCAGTGAGGCTCTCCTAGCTGGTACACACACAGTTCAGAGTCCCGTATTTTTACTAAGCTAATGGATCCGAGGGATGACCAGTCTTTGACAGCTTGTAAGCTTGTAGCCTCAAAGGGAAATGGATTTGTGTCTAATTCATAATTCTGGAGGTTCTGGTCCCAAAAAGTGCATAAACCCAACAGGCAGACTTTGGGGACTGGGAGAAGACGAACCGGATGGCAAAAGCTGGAGCCTCCTGCTACTGTTATCTGCTTCACTCCATGTTGTTTGGATGGGAAGCAAAAGAAAGGTAGTTTTTACTCTCCCCCACCCATAATCTTATGGGTAGTGAGGCTACCTTACCCCAAGACCTCTGGGGGCAATTCCCAGGAAGCCGTACAAAGGAGGGGACAAGCCCAATATGGAGGTAGAAAGACCTCTCTCCCCTTCCGGTTTCTTCTCACCCAGTTCTGGAGGTCTCCCAATAGAATTCTAGGAGGCTTCTGGGATTGAATATTGTATAATTTCTTTAAAATAAAATCCTATCCCAAAAGGGAAATTCTTATTGATGGGGATTTGCCCTTGAAAAAAATTCGGACTACAGACCCCAGAATTCTTCATTCTGGGGGTTCTACCAAGTGGACAGATACCTTGACTTTGGCTCATGTAGGAGAAAGGCCTTTCTCAACCAGAGGCTTGGGCAGCTAGGCTTATGTATGTATGTATGTATGTATGTATGTATGTATGTATGTATGTATGTATGTATGTATGTATGTATGTATGTATGTATGTATGTATGTATGTATGTATTTATTTATT